TTTGTACTCCTTTCCTAATTTCTGTAGGAAAGCACAAATTCAGATATTGTCCTGACCCTCCTAATTCTAGATACAGCCACCAGGCCAGGGCCAGTCTTGGCAGCAACTGTAACAGCAACCAGACACACTGAAAAATAGAGCCCTAATTATTCGACCCCCTCAGCTTCTTCCATCACTCCCTCCACATCTCCAAATCAGCACCTCAGAACACACCAGGACTGCTGGTGGGGAGCAAGGAGCAAGGTGGTTTTCCTGAGTTCAGCAACAGTGAGGATTCAAAGGGTCTTGAGATGTCTCCTCAAGTCTTTGGCCTTCCTCTAAGGATTCATCTGTCATGTGTCAGCCCAGCACCTACCTTCCTGCAGCCTGCTGGACCTGCTCCGGTGTCCCTGCTGGACACCGGTTAGAGAATTTGGGCAGGAGGAAGGAAGTGGCATGGCAGCAGTGACCTTCATATCCTTGAAATCACTCTTGCTCCCTGACTTGTTTCTCAAAGCAGAAACCTACACCTATGCCCTCTGCTTCCCCTCATCCCTGCCTTCCCCACCTCAGTCTCTACAAGTCCACCCCTTGCGTTCTTTCCCCGTACTACTGTCCATCTACTCTTACGGATCCTCCTCGTGTCCAAGCAGGTGCGTGAATCCTGTCCCTTGCATCTAAACTTGCCACAACATGGCGAACACCTCTGTTCTAAGAAGGACAGAAGACACTGCATGCTGCACCATTACAATGTCCAGTTCACCTACACGCTGACTTCTGCGTTTCTGCTCAGGCCAGGGCTTGGATTATCAGTCTCCTGATAGGAGATCTGTTAGACCCATTCTGACCCTGAAAATCATCAGCTAGGAGAGTCGTAAGTATTAGATGAAGATGAAGAACTACTGTATTAGATGAAGGATACTCTTAATAGAAACTATTGCAGTACCTGTAAAAAATATTTACTAAGAATGCAGCATCTGTAAGAAAGGCAAATGAAATTCCAGTTTCATTAAAAATACAGCAAAGGATCAGGTCACTTTTCACAGTACAACATCCAGACAAAATCAAATTGAATTAGTTAAATGACAAGCTTTACCAACCACTGGTGCATATGAAACCCACAGCTGGTATCAGGGCCAGAACATTGTCACTTTGATATTGCACTTACAATTAGTCACCAGGTTTCTCTAGGATATCTTTGAAAACATCCACTTCATAGTTACTGCAAAGTAAAGTAGTGGCAAGTGAGTATAACATATGAACGTATATGTTTATTTTATAAATGGCTTTAGACTCCTTCCAAAGATATGGGAAAAACTGGATTTTACCAAGTTTGACTGATCTTATATCCAACCCTTAGTTTTTTGTGTCTAGACAACATTTTATCTTGGGTCATGAAGTAAGGAGCAAAGCTGCAGTGCTTTTTGACAGCTGAAAAAGTGGCTTTAGGGGGGGTTTCCTTTGTAATTACTCATGCACCAATAGTACTAGGCAGCTCATACACCAAAATCAGGATTTTTTTGCCAAGCACATTGCTTAATCTCCTTCACTTACAAAGCAAAAACTCATTCAAATTAAATGCACACACATTACAGAAACCAGGATTAGTCATGAGGGCAGAAGGTAATTGTTTCAATATTTTGGCCCTAAAGGTATTACCAAGAAAAATACAACTATTTTCCTTGGACAGCCTTCCCTGATTCTCTTCTCTCAATATCAATTTTTTACAATACAAAATGGACAAAGTGACATTTTTTTGTAACATCTTCCCATAAATAATTTACAGACAGCATGGGACAAGAGATAAATAAAAGGGCCATCTTTATCACCCTTGTGATTGCACTGAGCACAGTCCTGGTAAGATGCCACTGAACTCAACGAACTGCATCTCAAGACTTTGATTTTGGGAATTCACTTCCATAAACAGAGTTGCACATAACTGCAGATGTTTTCCTGGTACAGTAAGTAAAGTAGTACAGTGGGGCCTTCCTTTTATTACTAAAAATAATAGCTTACACCATCAGAGAAAATGCAAACCTGCCTGCTTAGATCTATAATTCAAGTTATGCATAAAGCCAAGCCTCCAGAGTTTTAAGGCAAGTAGCAGTATTTGTCTTAGAAATGCAGAAACATTATAATCTTTTAATTGAAAGTGATTAAACCAGAGTCATCAACTGAAATACATTCAAACTCAGCAGAAGTTTTCAGGTAGCAATAATTATTATTTTACCTCTACTTTTATCTTTACCTCTAAGTTAAACATGTTTGGATTTTTCTGTGCATATGACCAGAGAAATCATCAGTGCATGTTTTTCTTCACTGACTGATGATTAAAAGTCTCTCCCCAAATGTGCCAGGGTCTCATTAGACTAAACCTTTTGCCAGAGGCGCAGCGCAGTAGCTACTTCTGGTTTTCCGACGGAACACATCTCCACCACATTTTTGAGCAGTTTCTCAGAAAAATACGTTCAGTTAGATTAAAGAAGTCTCTCTTTCAGCATCGGCACTAAAAAAGAAAAAAAAAGGCCCTGCAGAGAGCTGTGTAGGGAGTTAATAAAGGAAACTCCTTCTCCGCTTTACATGCAGGGAGCTCCGTGACACCAGGGCATTACCGTCCCTCTGATTTACTGTCATGCCAGCACCACGCGGAGACCAGAGGGTAGGGATGACATTGAAATCCAGCTGTTTTGCTCTATTTCGTGGGTTCCTCATTAAGCAGGTTAGGGGTTGTGGGGCGGAGGGAGTTTATCTCTCTGCGGTTTAGTTATGATAACTATTTATTTTGCTGTAACCGTTCTTCTGGCTTCACTGCCGACGGGTGGTCATGTATCACCTCATTAGTGAGGTGTTAATATATAGCTGTTAGCAAGTTTGGCCCATACTGTCAGAGACTGACACATAACCACGTGAAATAGGCATGATTTTAGCATGGTTGTTATTATGTATTTCTGTGCTCATCTTTCATTGTAAGGCCTCAATCTTTCCCT